CAGCAAAGACAGACTCGGGCGTGTTCCCCTGGCAACAAGGCTCCTCGAGTCTTCTGCACCGTCTAAAATGAGACAGGAAAAAGACTAACATTAGTGACACCTCATAAAGACAAAGTGCGAGAAAATGACATTTTCCTGCTTTCACACACGGCATTGAAGTGAAAAACGCCTGTTGACTACACATTTGACAGAAGGAGGGGAGAAGAGTAATACAAATCTTAAACTGGCTAGTCAAATTATTTTGCTTACTTGTCAACAAATGGCTTTTTTGCCAGTAGAGATGGCTACGCCAGGCAACTCAACACTTTCAAAAAGCCCCATTCATTACTAGCACAGTTAAAAACTCGAGCAAGCTAGAAGAGTTCTACGTGACACATATTGGATATGCATTTCCAACAAAATACAGTTCGCATCACAGGTAAAACTCTGGGCAAGCACAAAGCTCTTTTCCTAAGATACTTAAAATGAGTCTGTAGTCCTCAAATGTAAACAAGAAGGCTGTTTGGAAACGCACATAAAAACTAGGCAAGAAACGTGCCACCATAACCAAGAGCACTTCGTCATGAAGGTTGGGAACCATCCTGTGTTAAAACAATGTGGCAGCTTTTTTTATAAGTTTTGGGTGGTCAAATACCAACCTCACCTCAATGTTCAGGTAATTCCCAGCCATCACGAGTCTAAACTGCACAACCAATACAATAATAACCTCAGTGCAAAAAAAAAAAATCAGCACCACACTTCTATACAAAAACTCCCTATTTGCATACAACAGCAGTACTGGGGATGGCCATGCAGATTCTGACAGCCAGAAGAAAAGCCCCAGATGGGGGGTGAATACCTTTGACAGGCATTGTAAGGTGTTGAAAGATGTGAAAAAGCCCTGACGACGTAAAATGACCGGAGAGCCTGAATGTTCTGAAGTACGAGTTGAATAATGTACTGTAGGATTCCTGCAGCGACCCTTTATTTACTACAAGAAAAATTAGTTTCACAAAGACTACGTGG